CATTTGAAAATTCATTATAAAGTTGACAAAGATAATTTATAAAAAATAATTTCTAGTGACCCGAACACTTAAAGTATTTTAAAAATGAAAGTGATTTCAAAACAATTATTGTTCCATTCATTTTTTGTATGTTTCATGTTCTCTTGTTTTTCCTTTTGAGAATTCCTGACATATTTATCATCTGCTTAGATTTCAATGAGATAATTTTGATTTTTCCTTGGTTACAATAGTTTTAGGAGGCTTCAAAGAATATAGGAGGGAGGGAATCTGGTCCATAGATCAATTGCATTTTGGTTAGGACATGGAATTTAGTTCCCTTCCTATTAGTGATTATCACTCGAACACTAGTCATACTTCTTCTATATTAAAATACTGTTGTCCAATGAATAAAGTGTTTCATATTCACTCTTTTCACATGGACACTTATTATTTGCAACTGATGTCTTTATATAGATGTTCAACAAAACACATAAGCCCACCATTATAATTTATTGATCTGGTGGGCTCGCAAAATTTAAAGCTGTGTTCTCATTTGTTGTTGTTGTTGTTGTTATTATTACTACTACTACTAGTACTACACCACATAGAATTTTCTCTCTTATTTATTTATTTATTGTGAACATACTCTACAGAGGGGTTACAATTACATGGGCAAGATAATGAGTAAATTTCTTATCAAGCATTGCAGGCTCCTCCTTTGTTTACCCTTCACATCCCTTCCCAGCCTTCCGCCCCCCATCCAATCCTCCCCCCCTCCAAGTTTTATCTTTTTTGAATGGATTATTAACAATTAAATTTATGTAGTCAACACTCCTCTGAAGAACACTGATATTATTTTTCATCTTGGAATACATTATCAACCTTCTTTTCATTTGATGATTGTGTGTACCAAACTGCATATCAACTATACATTCATTTCCTACTGGAAACACCTGGTTCTTATGCTATCACTGAGTTTTACAGTCAGTTTTTCCTATTCTTGGGTCAAGTTTAATTTCTTCTCTATTAATTTGGCTTTATGGACCATTCTTTTTAGTATTGTTTTCTGATTACAAAACTAAAAACAAGTTTACATCTGCATTTTATAAATACATATATAAGAGGAAAAGCAATGTATTATTAATGCTTTCTGTCCCCAGTTACTAAAGTGAATAAGATTCAAGTATAAACATTATTTTTTCTTTCTCCTGTTAACACCTTCCCTCCTCTGTTCCTCAATCTCATTCTCTATTACCATAAGGAATTTGTTTAATATCTTAAGTATGCCTTTCTGCATAATTTTTAGAAAACCTAACTGCTGTTTTGTGAAACAATTTTTGTCTAGTTAAGTTCACATTAAATGTAGGAGTATTCTCTTTTGATTATTTCGCTGGTTGCTATGTTTTTAAGATCCATCCAAGCTGCTATAGGTAGGCCATTGGTTCTAATTTAGCCGGTGGATCTGTTATGTATTTTTTCTACCTACATCCTCACTGAAGATTAAGATAATCTGTATTGTTCCCAAATCCTTGTACCACAAACACTTCATACACTTCAAAAAGAATTTCTTAAGACTCAGAACCAAGTTAGGCATTGCTGGCTTTTAGGGTATTTTAGGGTATACAACAAGCACTACCAGGCTGTGATGAACATTCTATCAAATACATCATTATTTCAGGCTTCTCAAGTATCCATATTTATTCATATTTGCTATAATTCAGCTTTTCATTTTTTCCAAAAGGACAATTATCCAAAAGGATAATTTATTATTTTAGTTGGCCTTTAATCTGGTTTACTAAAATTGATGTTGTATGCTTTGCGATTTCTTTGTTATAAAAATGCCTGGTCATATATTTTTTTCCATTTTTTTCTCTTGTGGTTTTCTCATGTTCTTCTTGTCATGCAGGAGTTCATTTTATTCTCTCAGTCTTTCCCCCTTTATCTGTTTTGGTTATAACAAATGGCTTATGCCAATCTAGCTTCTGTCTATTTATTTTACTCATAGTGTCTATTTTTGTTGAATAGAAGCCTGAATGACAGTATAGTATAAAGCATTTTTTAAATTTCTTGATTGTATTTTTTTTTTTTGTTGGTTGTGGGGCTTGAACTCTGGGCCTGAGCACCCCTCAGCTCTTCAGCTCAAGGCTAGCGCTCTACCACTTGAACTACAGCGCCACTTCCAGTTTTCTGGTGGTTTATTGGAGATGAGAGTTTCATGGACTTTCCTGCCCCGGCGGGTTTGCTTCTTGAGTAGCTAGGATTATAAGTGTGAGCCACAGGCATCCAGCAATTGTATTTTATTTTACTTTAATTCAAACATCTTTTCTACTCTTGGGCCATATCGATGTTTTCCTATATTGTCCTCCAATGCAGTAAAGATTAGCCCATCTGGGGCTTGCTCTCAAGGTTTGAGCCCTGTCCCTGAGCTCTTTTGCTCAAGGCTAGTGCTCACAGCTCCACTTATGGTTTTCTGGTAGTTACCTAGAGATAAGAGTCTCCTGGTGTTTACTGCCTGGGCAGGCTTTGAACCACATTCCTCAGATCTCAGCCTCCTGGAGAAGCTAGAACAACAAGCATGAGCCACAAGTGCCTGGCTAGAAGACCAGTTTTATTTTTCTCTAATAATGATATATTTTTTTTACCCCACACAATGTCATTACTCAAAAATTTCTTCTTCTCTGCCACTTTTATCAGGAATTAAGTTCCCAATTTATAAACAAGTTTATCTTCAGTTCTAAGTTAAACTTCCTCCATGTAATTGTACTTGTCAATTTTTATTCTAGAAATTTTTGGTTGCTCCATTTTATATTTTATCAAATATATTCTAGCATATGGAAATCAATTTGACCTAAGGTATTACTCAGTGTGCTAAGAGACAGTGGTAATAGAATAAGCAAAAGAATGACTTGCCAAAAAAATGTCCAAACCCACTGCTCTTTTGTTATTTATTTAGTTGCACATTTGCTTACTCATTCAATCAAGTGACTGCTCTTTCTTGGGAATTATGATTGTGCTGGGAAATACAACAGTAAGCCAAACAAAGACAGATTACTGCAGTGATTTAATAAAAAAATGCTCAAAGAAATTTAACACTGTACTTTAATAATCCCTATAAATTACAATCAATAGCTTACTAAGGAAGGTTTGATCTGGGAGGGGGAAAATAGAAACTGACATTTATAGAGTAGACAGGAGTTAACCAGAGGTTCATTCTAGAGGGTGAAGCATGTACAAAGCACACATAGGAGAAGGAACCTGATAAATGCTATGGTCTGAAAATATGCTGACATATTTGTGTGTAGCGATATTTAGAGGCAGAGGAACAACATATAGAAACCAAGCAGAGCCCAAGGAGCTCAAAGTCAGCAAGAGAATGCATAAATACCTGTAGCGAGGAAAGAAGAAAGCAGGAGGTATCAATCATCCAATGAGCCAAGGTAAAGGTTTCTGATGAGTTCATCTTCCCTAATGGCAAGCTTCTTGTCCAGTGAAGAAGAGAGTAATATTTCATAACTCATGAAGACATTAATGATTTTGATGTTGGTAATCTTTGGTGTTTATAAAATGCTGCTTATGTTTTATTTTTTACCTTGCTTGTGATGAATCTTTTTTTTCAAAGATGTTGACATTATGTAAATCTCAAGTGGAAAATACTTCTTCCTACTCACATTACAATTCTTCAGATCTTCCCTTAAGCAAGTGTCATTTTTGAACAGTTGACCAGTTTATTACCAGTACCCTGAACATCACCCAAGGTACAGTGGGTACTTGATATTTTTAATTAGTTAATACCAAAAGAATGAAAGTGTCATACTATCAACAATTCATTCTCCCATAGTACACTTACTGGTGGAAAGATACATTAATATACTGATGACTTCCATTAAAGGCAGAGCCTTTATTATGAGCTGTTCCCTGACAGTTGCTACAGAATTGCTACAGAATCCATTCATTAGCTTGCTCTTATTCAGGGTTTACTAAATGAAAAGCACTATAAAAAGAACTGGTTTATAATTTATTTCATTCTTATGATTTACTACAAATATGTATTTTGGTATGTAAGCAAGATTGAATTTGATTAGTAGACCCACGTATAAGTACACATACACTAGTTCACGCATATATGCGTGTGAAACAACCAAAACTCACCATTTTTAGTAGTCTCAGTTATCTAGTGTGAGAGATGACAGTAAACACTTAGGATGATTGCTGTCAAGATGCTTTTCCACCTTTTTCTGGAATGAGGAAACATGATCCATTCTTAAGGCATCTGGGGTGGAAAGGTAGGCCAGAGTTTGGAAAGGTTCTATTGTTAGATACTGTGATGACAGTCTGAGTGGATTTCGGGAAGCTGAGACTACCTCACTTCTCTGAGCTTGAGACTATGAAGTCATCACTAATAGGGTGACAGTTGTTTATGAAATCATTGTTAGAAAAACATGAAGGTTGAAAAACATGGAGACAAAAGCCTGACAACTCTGGTCTCATCCTGATGAGCCAGGCTTCTTTTACTAGCTAGCAAAGGTTTGGTGATAATTTTATGAATAGGGAGACAATAGAACAGCTAATTATGTGGCATCTACATGGAAGCAATACATCAAGTGTCAGGCTTGTAAAGTTGGGCATAAGTGTTGAGTTTAAGTATATACTCAGCATAATCCCTCTGAGTGTGTACGTAGTGTTATTTGGTGTGATCAACATTTTTCAAGGACTGAAATGGTGCCAGTGTGATCCTTGGTCCTTCAAATAGGTTTCTGTAGAATTACCTCTTTGGAGACAAACCAAACAAAATGGCAGAGACAAGTTTCTCCTTTGTGGTCAGACTTACGGGGTTTAAGTCGGTAATTGAAAAGAGGTACAGAAGGATGAGTCAGAAGCCCTGTCATGGCTTTCAGAAGGGCTGAAAGCACAAGGCTTTTATATTTTAATCTGCCTGCTTAAGTATTGCAGCAATTCATTAACTTTAAGTGCTCTTCAAATCAAAACGTAAATCACCCATCTTTCTCAAAATCCTGGTTTCGATGGTGATGGAGACAGACTTCTGCATTGGAGATAGTCGGGCATACAGAGATGAGGTTTG